TAAACCCTGGCAGGGGCAGTTTTTGAAAGCAAACATGGCCACCTCACAGCTCAGCCCGTGGCAAGTATTTGACATACAAACGTGACCACCTCACAGCTTCAGCCGCGGCAGCGTTTAAGCTGTGGGGAGGCCATGTTTCCTTTTGAAATACTGCGCCTGCCAAGGTTTGTGCACAGAAATCTGCCGTGTGGTGCCACAACTGGCGGCACTACACGCTCACCCTCTCTGATTTTGGCGCGACGCAGCGCAAATACTGCGCCTGCCAGCAAAATCACTAAACGCTTTGCACTGTGGCAACACAGCGATTTTTAGATGTGCCGTTTGGGCGTGTAGTATCCCACTTAACGCTCCGCGCTGTGGCCGGAGACAGATTTTCGCCATTTCCTTGCATTCGGTTGTGATTATTTTTTTAACGTCAATGGCGTGTGTTGTGTTTTGTGTTTTTTGTTTGGGTCATTCTTAGGATGACACATAAGATGTCATCGTGCATGGAATTCCCACTGCTGGTCGCAATCCTTTTTCTGTCTTTTTTTGCTGGTTTTCGTTTTGGTTGTTTGTTTTGCTTTTTTTGTTCTTTTCTGGTTTGTATTGTCTTTGATGGGATTGCCCGCTGGACTTTGTATTGGTCCACTACCATCTCTTTTGAGGCTGCTGACTCTATTGACGGCCTTACAAGCAAATTTCAGTTCAGCTTGTCTGCGCGGTTGAACGTGTGTAACGACCTGGCGAAAGCCATGAAGGCGTTGGACGGAAAAAAATGTTTGTTTTGCTCCAAGTTCGCATGGTCGAGAACCGGAGTTGCAACGGAGGATGCAAATGCCCTTTTCCCGTCTTGCAGAAAGCACGCTGTTTTGCGCTAACTTTGCTGTCGCCCCTGCGGGTTTGCGTTCTTGTTCTCCCGGAACGTGACAAGGGAATAGGACTTTGGATCGGTCCTTTACCAGTTTACTTTTGCGGCCACTACAGCCTCGGCCCTTGCGTGAATTAATTAATTAATCTCATATGCAACATGCTTAGAAACATGTTGAACGACCTGGCGGAAGCCATACGGCGTTAGACGGAAAAAAAGCCCCTGCGGGTTTGCAGCGAATTGAACACTACAGAAGATCTTCGCACTGCTGAGTTTGTTTTTTCTTTTGTTTTTGGTTGTGTTTTTTGTTTGGTTTCTTGCTGAGAGCTAGCTGGACTGTACACTACAACGGCAGGCTTGAATGCACAACGGAGGGCAGTGGCCTCACGGGTGGAGGCTTGAAGGCTCTTAACAACAGAGGGCAGTGGCTTCACGTGTCGATAATAGAGAGCCTTGCATGCTAATTACAATTCAACTTTTGCTTCGATTGAATGTGTATAACGACCAGGCGGAAGCCATGAAGGCGTTGGACGGAAAAAAGATCTTCGCACTGCCGACACAAGCTGGCTTTTCTGAACCTCTGCCCAATTTACTTAAATCAAAGCTCTTGCTGAAGGAGCTTCACGCTTGCAAGCCTGCATCAATGCTGTCGAGCTACATTGGTGTCCCTTGCTACTTGTGGACTTATACCTTGACTTCAAGTGGACTTGCCGATGGCATAAGTGTGGAGATAGTGTGATAAGTAAAACTAAGTAGGAGATTTTTTAGTGTTACTTATAAGTTTGTTAGCACTAAAAAGTAGAGATAAGTATTGTAAGGTGGTGGAACATGAAAAAGTTATTTTTACTTAGCTACTTGTGTTTTTCTTGGATTTTAAAGGTTTTGCTGAGTAGGTTGCTTTTTTATCGTTTTTGTATGATCGTAGGCGTCATAGCTCAAGTTTTGAAAGAAATAGTTTCGACCTTAAAGTTTTTGTTTGGTGTAAAGACCCTACCTCATTACGATGAGCTGCAGTGAAAACAATTGGAACGACTCAAGCGGCATGTCATCTCTGTGGAGATGGCGGGTCGCATCATGGAGTCCTTCTCCGATGTCTGGAGTGTAGGAATTTTAGATGAGTTGAAGGCATTGGTTGCCGAGCAAAGTGAGTCACAGGAGGATCTGGCAAGCCGTGCTGGCTTGCAAGACTTCACCGCTTTGCCGAACTATTTATGCAAGGAATGGTGGCAATTAGAATCTCCTGCCGCTGGAGTTTATAAACTTGAGCTCTTGAGTAATTTTGCTGCCACTTTGGGTCTGAAGAATCCAACCGAGGCGTCCTATGGCACTTTAGGTAGCATTGTCCTTCTATGCGGACAATGTTGAGACGTGGCCAGAATCGCAGCAGGTGAAGCTTCTGAGGGCACATAAGGAGCGCATGCGCCGTTGGTTGAATAAGGCAGCAGCTGCCAGTGTCCGTTTAAATTTTGCCCGAGAATCCAGAGGAGATTCCAGTTTCTTTGTTTGCTGCTGCATTCCCGACGGGATTGATTCCGGGTTCCCGGAAATTATGGATAAAGCAAGGTTGCGGCAGGTCATCGCTGATTTCCGTTGGAGGGCACCAAGGAAGGCATGTCTTCCATGTCAGTGTTGCCGGCAAGTGGTCAAGTTGATCCTGCTGCTTTGTGCATGCTGCAGCCACCTTAGTGGCGCGTGTGCAGACACAATCTCGACAGACCGAGGTTGACATACCAGGCTTTCGGATTGGAGCCTCGGGACGCAAAGGTGACCGTGGCAGCGCCTGCGTTGGCTTTGGAAGACTCGAAGCCTGTTGCTGCTGCCACGCAGCCCATTGCAGAGACAGAGAAACGGTAGGAAGCAGAGAGCGAGACCTGCGGGCCGCAAGCGGCAATCGCGGCTTTGCGGGAGTTGACTAATAAAGGGAAAGGGGCGGCTGAATCTTGAGGTAAGGCCTTGCAAGAAACCTGCCAAGCAGTCGAAAGGCAAGAAGAAGGGTATGGCAAGGCCTGCGTCTGCCGTGAAAAAGATTTTGAAGCGTCCCGCTGCTGTTGCGGCATCCTCCGCCGCGGGAGACATGTCCGAGGGGGGATACACTGATCGCAGGGACACCTTGTTGAAGAAGATCCCAAAGGATGTCTTGCAGCGATACAAAGGTGGTTGCTCAAGGTGCTATCATCGCGCTTATTGCACTGTTAGCTGTTGGGCGCGTAGAGGTTACAAGTAGCAGAGACATATTTTCCGTGTCATGCTGAGGAAAAGCAAATGGCATGGAGGGGTTGCGGCGCAAGTGAGATATGAAACAACATGTCTTAGTTGGAGAAATATTGCATGCCACAGCTGGTATACAAGGATTCTATTATATGTCATGTCGTCACGCACATAGGCTCAAGGGTGTCTCTTTCCCGTGCTGCACAGACGCTGCCTGGAGGTGCGCTGGCTTTGTTTGTTGGAATTGGAATCTGCATTGTGTCATGGTCTCACTTTGTATTTTTTTTCTTTCTTTCCAAGTGATTTATTATAATTTTTATGATTAAGGAATCTTGTGGTCTGAGTCGATTTCATGTCTTGTTTTCCTTGGGGGTACACAGTGTCGCAGCGACATGGCATTTGTACGTCGCATCACCTGCGCGGTGATGACCGGAAACATCTGCGTGATGTTTTGCTCTCATCGAAGTGATGGAAGCGAGTACCTGCGGGGTGCTTGCATCGGATCACCTGCGAGGTGATCACACACATCTGCGAGGTGATCGCAGACGCATCTGCGCGATGCGTTGTGCTCACCTGCGTGGTGAGAGCAAGCACCTGCGTAGTGCGTATGGCAGACTACCTGCGCGGTGGTCATGGACATACCTGCGAGGTGTGTCGAGTGCCTTCGTGGCGTTCTGGCACCTGCGTGGTGTCTGCCTGCGTGATCACCATCATGGTGATTCCGCTTGCTACATGCGCGCGGAACGTGCTTGCAAACCGCTGACACATGTCTTTTATCTCTATATGTATTTCGAAGCACTCCATATGTTTCGATATATATGCTTATACTCTGCATGTTGTTTCGTTTCGGCTTGGCCAGGTGCATGCTCCTCAAGCCGTCGCCCTTTAGTCCGATGGACAAGAGAGAATCCTCCGAGGAGGAGGAGGTGTCTGGGGACCTTCCGGATGCAGCGGAAGAGGAACCGGATCCGGAGGGAAAGAAAGAGCGGAAGGCGCGCTTAGTCACCGCTCAGACCGGAAAGAGAAGAAGGAGAAAGAAAAGAAGCATAAGAGACGGTCTGAGGCAAGTCGGGAGAGGCGCGGATCGCAGGCTCCGCCGAGTCCTCCTGGACCACCGCCACCGAAACCTGGGGAGAAGACTCCGCAGAAGAAGAGGGAGCACGCTGACTCAGGCATAAAGGCGGCGGCAAAAACTTGAAAGGGGGGCCCAAGAAGCAAATGTGCAAGATATGCGGCTCACGCGTCGCGGGGACGCCATCCGCTCTGGATCAGCATCAGTGGCTGTCCGAATACTGCTTGGCTTGGCAGGCCTACGAGCGAATGACTCCGTACCAGAAGGAACAAACGGGAGCATGGGAGAAAGCCAAGAAGATCGGACAGGACGTGAAGAGCAGTCGTGTGCACCTGGATGCCACGTCTGCGGGACGTCCCGCACAGATGATGACCCGCAGTGCGCCGGAGAGGGCCGTGAGTGTCGCGTCTTCCCATCGCGAGCGTCCGCCGTCACTTCCGCGTGAAGCGTCGGTACCTCGCAAGAGTCACGGACGACGCAAGGACGCTAGGTCCTCCTCCAGCAGCGACCGTGCAGCCAAGAAGGAGAAGAGAAGCCGGCATAATGTGGTCATCAACTTTCATGGCTGACCTGCGACGTGACTGCGGATGCCGCTCTATAGAGGATACAACATGCACTGGAGACATGGCAAAAGAAGAAGCTGCGCTGCCGTTTTGGGGATGGGTTTGGGATTAAAAACAACTTGGGGAGATGCACTATGCTAGGTGAAATGCGTGGTTATATAATGGTCTGCACAACATGTCTTAATAGAAAACGCTCACATTCCAATCCGTGCTTTTCTCCGGGTTGGACACGCGCGAGGGCTTCGATGCGCATGGTTCCGTGCATGTTTGGCTCAAAGTGTCATAGTGCAAAGAAACCTTGGGGAAGATGGCTTCGACCGACTTTTGCATCTCAAAAGAAAGACTGCGGGTCTTTCGGGAATGTTTGAAAGCAACCACTACGACTCCGGAAGTTCTTCCGGACGGTGATGACCTCTGGAAGGATGGTTGGAGAATTGTGGTTGAACTCTTGGATCAGGCAGAAGGCATGGCGCACTCGCAAGGGCAGCTGGACTGTGCGAAATGCATTGAAAGATGCAATCGCATGATTGAGAAAGTCATGTCTGAGGAAATGGCTGTGCTTCCAGACGTCTGTCGTCTCTGGACTCGGAACACAGACTGGGATGGGCACTGGCCGCGGTTTGTGGAAAGGGTAGGTGCATATCATCTGCGGCAGGTGGAAGAAGCGATCCCCGCGCTGGAGCAGCTGCGGCTGCGCTGGCAGGAGGAGACTGAAAACAGTCTTCCAGAAGCCTCGTGGTTGTACCAGGCTGAGTGCCAGCTAGAATCGATGAGGGAGACGTTGGTGCCTTTGAATCGGTCGTTTTGAAATGTGTCCGAAATGTGTCCGAATGTGTCCGGAAAAAGGAAATGTGTCCGGTTTTAATTATAATTTAAAGGGAAATGTGTCCGGAATTGGAAAAATAAATGTGTCCGAAATGTGTCCGGAATTTTCTGATTTTGGCTTTTTTTTCCTCCGAATGGGCTGCTCCGAAATGGATTATAGACACAATCAATGCTCTCGCTGGTTCTACTGGACTGCAGTTTCCTTCGCGGATATATATATGGTCTCTCTCACTTACCTCTGCTGTCTGCCAGGCCCTTCGCATGCACTTCTCCGCAGCCATTTGGGTTTTTGGACAGGTTAGTGTGCGGACCTTTGTTTTGCAAGGTGGCTTGCGGCATGGCGGACCGTCGCGTATGTCGCTTGTGCGGCCTGGAGCATGCTTCTGCTGCGGGCAGGATGCATGGTCGCTCCTTCTTTTGCACTGGTTGCTGGTCAGCAAAAGCGATGCTGCAGCGCAACTTGGGAGACAGGACTGAACTGAAAGATTTCAGTCCGGCCGAGACGCACTCCTTCTTTCGCGCCATTGCGAAGGAAAAGGAGAAGCAGGGAGGTCGCATTCAGTGGGTCACCGTGCGGGCCACACTTGTGAGATCTCTGACAGATCGCAGGATCTCCACTTTTCGTGCTACGTGCACCCAAAAGGAGTTACCTCTGTTGGTCTGGGTTAACCAAGGCTGGGACAAGACCCTCGTGGAAGCGTGTCCCAATCGGTTTTCCGAAGAACTGGGCACGCAAGTGTACGCTGTCCCCGTGCGGGAATTGTCGTGGGGAGAAGAGTATGCAAAGATTGAGGAGCAAGTCCTGCGACATGAGAGAGAGGGACAGAAAAGCAAAGGTGGAAAAAAGAAGAAGGATAACGCTGCCAACGCAGAGGCGTCATCCGATGGAGAATTGGATTTGCCGGCTGCGGAAGGCAGTGTGTCCGATAAGAAAGGAAAGCCGGAGGTGGACCGCAAGAAGTTGTTGGCGAAGAACGTTGCGTTAGCTGACAAAGCCGCTAAGGCCTTGGGTCCCTTGCAAGGCACGGCCACAGGTGTCGCGAAGTTGCTGGAAAAAGTGGAGAAAAGCGGCTGTGAGATTCCTGAGGGAATCAAACAGTCGAAAGATGATTGCATGGGCAAGCTCGAGACCTGGGCGACGGCGGCTCGTGAGTGCATCAACGTGCATGAGTCGACCCGCGAGCTGTGGAAGGACGCTGGTGGCGATCTGCTGCCTTTGACGGCTTTGCCGTTCGAAGGCAATGATGTGAAGTTGCTGCTAAAGCAAGCAACGGAAGTGCAGAGCACATTGCGTTCCCTGCTGCCCAAAAAGGAGGCGAAGGCGAAGGCGGCGCCCAAGGCCAATGCTGCGGCGAAAGCGTCGCCCAAGAAGAGGGCAGCTCGCAGCCACGACAGTGAGGGCGGTGACAAGCGCCGCAAAACTGGCAAGAGCCCCCCTTGAGTCTGCTGACTGTTCCTGTAGTGTGTGGTAGCTGCGATCCTTAGGCCAGTTTCGCTTTGGGCTCTGTGTTGCTGTGAGCAGCAACATGTTGTGAAACGTGGATCGCACGTAGACAGGCTGTCCCTGTGAGGGTGCTGTCTCACACTCCGTCTGATATGTGGACTGAAGCTTTAGCCGTAGATGGATCAGAGCGCAAGGTCCTGCGGCTTCCGGGAAAAGTCGTGCTGCGCTGAACCGCTTGGTGTGTGCATGCCAATTCCATGCAGATCTTTCCATTCATGCACGAATTGGTGAGTTTTATACTATATACTATATATATATATATATTAATGTAGGTTACTACCTCGCAAAAGGCAAGCCATGCCATTGATTACACAGGAAAGACCTATATGTAACGACGGATTATATATACGCAGAAAATCTAACATAGATATATAGTCTAAGCAAGAACGAAACGTGTGCAAGAACCTTCCTCCACCGCAAACCGAAGTACCATGATTGCTATATAGATGGCCGTGAGCATGTCATGTGTCTCTTCTGCTGCATGTATGGTTCACGCGTGTACAGGTATGTAAAAACAATGAAAGCGAAAGCGGGATCGAAAAGAAGCCATGGAAAACATATACTACTAGATCAAAACGCTAAACCTTCGGAGCAATTTGAATTTCTGCGTGAAATTCAAGGTGTGACAGCCACCGCTGCGCGCCGGATTATCGCGCATCTGCGAGATGATGGACAAGGCCGTGGAACTTCTAAACGCAAACGGCTGAAGTTTCCAAAGGTTAGTGACGTCGTAACGACGGTAACCTTCGGAGATCCATGTTGCCACATGGCTGTTACTTCTGTCCCGGACGTGCTGCAAGCTAAGTGTGATGGATCGCAGTTTTTTTCTGAGTCCATGGCATATGTTCTCAAAGAACATGGTCCGCAGTTGCATCTAGTCCTTGCTTGGGACGAAGCAACTCCAGGTAATGTTTTGCAACCTGATTTGCAGAGAAAGGCAGCAATGACGTATGGAGCCATTGCGCAGATGCCCGTGCTTTGGGCTGATGATGCTTGGATGACACTTGCTGTCATTCGGACTCGCGAAATGCAGAGCATCGCAAATGGCTATCCACAGTCGCTTGTTCACTATTTACGGTGGCTCAGGCAAGAAACCCAGCATGGCTTCACGCTTGTTCTGAATGATGAACCAACCCTTTGCACCATTGCCAAAGTGTCTCTGGTAGCTGACGCAGATGGCTTGCGTTTGCTCACCGGTTGCAAAGGAAGTTCTGCTCTGAAGCCATGCTTCTTATGTCAAAATGTTTTAAACGGACATGACAAAGTGCAGAACCACGTGCACATCAGTTGCTGTGATGTGCATGCTTGCCACTTGCAAACGCAAGACAATCTTATCCAGATCCAACGTCACCTCGAAACCTTGCTGTCTCGCAAGGAAAGAGAAGAAGCGGAAAAGCTATTGGGATGGCACCTGCATGCCTTGTCGGCGTCTATTTTAGTGCAAGAAGACCTCCGAAACTGGATTCCATTATCATCCTTGAGGTACGACCCCATGCACTGCTTCCTGGCAAATGGCATAGTGCCTCAAGAATTGGGGCTCTGGTATAATGCTCTTTTGGACAAGACCTCCTGCGACATCGATACAGTACGCAGATACGTTCTGCAATGCTGGACAGCCTCCAAAGAGTCGACCTTGGACATCAACAAAATTTTCACACAGGAAAGATGGCAGAAAGAAAGAGACTTCCGCGGAGACGCATCTGAAGCTCTGTCAGTGCTACCCTTGATGGTTGCATTTTCCTGGGAAGTCATATTGCCTGATTTTCCAGCTATGCTGCCCCACTGCGAATGTTTGACGGCGCTGTTAGCGCTGATATGCTGCTGGACTGATGCCAAACGCGGTGGAAACCTTCAAGTGAAAAGCATCGAGATGAAACGGTTGCAAAAAGTTCACCTGGACAAATTTGCGTCTGTGTATTCAATCGATGTCTGCCGTCCCAAACATCATTATTCTTTGCATCTCCCACTGCAATGGGATGCACACAGACTGTGTGTGGACTGCTTTCCTGCAGAAAGAAAACACCGTCTCTTCAAAAGAATTGCAGAGACGTTGACAAAATTAGACGGATTTTCCGCTTCTGCCTTATTGGAAATGAATCACATAGACGTCTCTCAACATGAGAACCGAGGTTCTTTTCTTCCGGTCCTGCGTGGACCAACTGCTCAGTGCCATGCCCTGCAGACATGGTTTGGCCAAGACGCTTATGTTGCAACCTCTGTCGAATGCAAGGGTATCACGTTTGCTTGTGGTCAACACAAGATTCTTTCGGCCCAACAAGCAATAGAAATCCACGGCGCGGTGGAATCCCACGGCCGTATTTTTCTTTTGTGCCAACCACTGCAGCCGCTGCCCGCTGAGAATCCAGCTCTGTCACATTGGAAACTACACCCGTCCAGTGACAATACATGGCTGTTGCCTCTTGACAAAGCTTTCCAAACCGTGCCCGTATACTTCTTTAGGAAAACGCGCAAAGACGCTGAAAATGTTCTCACATTCCTACATGCATGATACCTGCGCGGAAAAAAAAGGGAGAACGGGACATGCTAATTTAGCAATAATCGTGGAATACCAAAAAAACATACAAAAAAGTTATTTCTACTTATTTCTACTTATTTCTACTTATATACTTGCTTATACGATAAGTAGCTAAGTAACTTTAACTCATGTTACAACTGGACAAGTAGCCGGGGACACCAATGTAGCGATCATCGCAAACTCGATCGCATTGGATACAGTTTTGAAAGAAGTATGCACCAAAAGAGAACTTTGCAGCTCCCAATGACGATGATGCTTGGAAAAGAACTGAGCGGACTCTGAGTGCGCCCTGAATGCCGTAGCTACTGCTGTCATTCTCACTTTAGATCATGTCTCACCTCCTGTTTCACCTTTTTTCGTTTTTCACCACTCTCGTTGCTACACGGCGTCGTCGTTGTTTGCTTCGAAGTGCCTGGGTGAACGTTATGCCTGAATGGCTACTCTCTGTGATCTCTGGGATCCTGGCTGGGGGGATCCCCGGTTTCCGCATTGAACTTTGTTGCTTCTATCACCCTCTTCCATGGCCCCTTTTGTGTTTTTCCGTGTTGTCTTTGTTTTGCTTCATTTTCGGTGGCCATACTCATGATGACACACAAGATGTCATCGTGCATCTCATTTCTCAGAGCTGGTAGCGATCCCACTTCTTTGTGTTTTTGGTTTTGTTTTGGTTTTGTTGTGTTTTGGTGTTTTTTTGTTTGTTGGTTTGCTTTTTTGTTTGTTTTGGTTTGATTTTGATGGGACTGCTCATTGGACTGTGTATTGGTCCATTTCCAGCGCTTTTGAGGCTATCGACGTGTAGACGGCCTTGCATGATAATTTACAATTCATCTTTTTGCTGCGGTTGAACGTGTGTAACGACCTGGCGAAAGCCATGAAGGCGTTGGACGGAAAAAAATAGTAGCAAGCATGCTGTTGATTTTCCCATGCGTGAGACTTGACTGTGTATATCTTCTGCAAGTAAAACATGTCTTGACTACGTTTGGTCTGTGAATGCATTCATGCTCTCTGTTTGAGCAATTTTTCCCGCCCAAGTCTCCCTTCCTTCTTTGGTTGAAGTTGTTGGTTTGTTAATAAGATCGCCCAGCAGACCGCTGAATGAAGATCATCTCTACACGTCCTTGTTTGCGTCTCCGTACGAATTTGAGCGCCCCGGATTGCATTTTGGGGCCTGATTTGGGTCCAATTTTGGTCCTTGTTTCGGGTTTCATTTTTGGGCACCGCTTTGGGCCCCTACAATTACAAACAAAATCAAGGGCCCCAAAACGGGGCCCAAAAATGGAACCCAAAACAAGGACCAAAATTGGACCCAAATCAGGACCCCAAAATGCAATCCGGGGCCCCAAATTTGTACTGAGACGCAAACAAGGTCTACATGATCTTCATTCAGCGATCGGATTCAATTGTGCAACAAACTAACAACTTCAACCAAAAAAGGAAGGAAACTTGGGCGGGAAAAATTGCTCAAACAGAGAGCATGAATGCATTCACAGACCAAACGTAGTCAAGACATGTTTTACTTGCAGAAGATATACACAGTCAAGTCTCACGCATGGGAAAATCAACAGCATGCTTGCTACTATGGGGGTACGCCCATGCGTCACCGCAAAACTGCCTGTTTTGAGGCCCTGGTTTTGGAACCTCATTTTGCTCAATCTTGCGGCCGCTTCTTGCTACTTTATTGCATCCTTGGTTGGCGGACTTCGCTGCAACGCCTCAAGGTTGCTGCGCATGTGTTGGTCAAGTCGTGGTTTGCCGCGCCGCTATGGGATTCTTCGTCCATATTTGACGTTTTACTTTGGGTGACTTTTCCCTGGTTCTTAGGTTTTAGATGTGAGTGTGCAGGTTTCGGCGAGGTGTAGCACCTGAAATGGGTTTCAATGCGTGGCTTACCGTCCTTCCTTGACACAACTTTGCGCCGGTTGTGATGTTTCTAGAAGATTTAGTGATTTTGTTTTTTTTTTCCAAGCTGCTGACTTTACATTTGCATGGAAATATTTTGGATGGATTTTCTGGCAAATTTCATTTTGTGTTTGGGTTCTGCTCTGTAAGGTCGTGAATTTGACGGAGGCTTGTGTCAGTTTTTGTCGAAAGAACAAACTTTGCGACATGTTTGAGACTTGGATCAGACCCCGGAATGGCATGGGCCATGTCCATCTCCAGGAGACAGCGGTCAAGAAAAGAAGCAATGGCATGAGGACCGATTGAATTCACAGTAAGACAACATTGAATGGTTAAGAGCCATGTCTTTTTGTGTTTGCTGCCAGGAAAGGGCTGAGGCGTGTGCAAAGGACGTCGTCCGGAAAGCTGACTTCTATAGGAGGTGTTTGTTTGAGAGGTGTAAGGTGGGAAAGTGTCTTCTTTTTTGTCTGTAGCGGAGCCGTGCCTGCCGAAGCAAGTAGATGGATCCAGCTGTGCTTCGGCCAGGTGAAATTCAAAGAGGCCACAGGAATTTAAACTAGGTGCGTGAAACTGATGCCGAAGACTGGTTGACTTCCAAGCGCTTTGGCCGCGCGCCGCCCATACAATGCTAGAGCTTGTCATTGTGCAGAATGTGGCCCTTGTATCTTCCAGGTTCCATTCCTTTCTGCGTTTTGGAAAATACTATTGTATACGGCCAAAGCGGCGACAGGGTCGTAATCTGTCACAGACAAGGGGATTAGTGGGTCGTAATTGAGAGTGCACGGGTCGTAATTTCAAGTGCGAGGGTCGTAATCTGTCACAGACAAGGGGATTAGCGGGTCGTAATTTGAGAGTGCACGGGTCGTAATTTCAAGTGCGAGGGTCGTAATCTGTCACAGACAAGGGGATTAGCGGGTCGTAATTGAGAGCGCACGGGTCATGATTTCAAGTATGAGGGTCGTAATGTGTCACAGACAAGGGGACTGGCGGGTCGTAACTTGACAGTTGAAGGGTCGTAATTTCAAGTGCGTGTCGTAATCTGTCAGAGACAAGGGGATTGGCGGATCGTAATTTGACAATGCGAGGGTCGTAATTTCAAGTGTGAAGGTCATAATTCATCTGTCAAAGCCATTGGGATTGTCATTCTGCGTCAGGGAGAACCTGGACGATGCGCCGTTCCTACTTTCGACTTGGTCTCTGCTTCGAGATTACATGGCATTTATGCCGCCATTGTCGTAATGCCGGGGTGTTCTAAAGTGTTTGGGCGGTTCGGATTGGGGGCTCAAAAACGTGGTTTTCCTCCAACCACATCGGTGTTCCTTAGGAGTAATCCCGTGAGCTCCATGTTCCTTGGCCGCATCTTTCTCGTCCAGCTTCTTCTTCTGATTCTGTCCTGGCTTTAGGTTGCGGCGCTTTGCGCTCTCTTTTTTCCTTTGTAAATTCCGTGGGCTTCTGCCTGGCTCCCTTTGGACCCCAGCTTGGCAATGTTGAGGACGCGCGTAGCAAGAGAAATCCTTGTATGCTCTGCTTCCTCCCTTACAAATCAACATTGCTTAAAAGGGGCACGGGGGACGCCAGCATCTTCGCCACGATTCTCAGAATGTCTCCATAGCGAAACTTTGTTCCCCTGTTTCACTGGCCCGCTGAGCAAATTGCTCCACTGTTTGAACATATGCAGCCCGCAGGTGTTGGACACTGGCAATTTCACATTTTGCATCTTCCAATGAAAGGCTGCTTGCAGCGAACTCTGCCACCCAAGGATGCAATAAAGTAGCAAGAAGCGGCCGCAAGATTGAGCAAAATGAGGTTCCAAAACCAGGGCCTCAAAACAGGCAGTTTTGCGGTGACGCATGGGCGTACCCCCATAGTATAAAACATTAGCCTTGGACTCCACAAGTGGTCCTCTCCAGTTGCGTTGAAAAATTGATGGTCAAACAATCCCCAACTTTGATCCAGGTGAACAGTTAGGAAACCATTTTAAGTTTGTAGGAACCGATCTGGTGAACTAGAGAACCCATAGGAACCTATAGGAACCAGTAGGAACCAATTTGGAACCAAATGGAACCAGTTTGTGCATGGAAGAGCTTGGAGATGGATTTTCGTTTGTTTTTTGGATGTTGCTTGACCCATGCCCTAGGAACTTGAATTTGGTAGGATTTTTGTAGGGTATTTGTGAGTTTGAGCTGAAGACGCTTTATTTGGAGAAGCTGGAAGAACGTTTTTAATTTTTTGTTTCCGTCCAACGCCAGATGGCTCTCGCCAGGTCGTTTATCAAGCCGGAAATTTTTCAAATTCACCGAATTAATGCAGTGGCAACATCAGTCCTGACGACAATGTGCATACAGAAGAGAACTGAATTGGATCGATACAGGCAGCAACGTCGCAAGGCAAGGTCCGGAAAACCAGCCATTTTGATTCACATATCGTCACGCACGCGCGGATGCCTGCGGCGGATGCCGGAGAACCTGCGAAGGACCACTACGGATGCCAAAAACCACCAAAAAATGGCCGCGGATGCATTTCCGGCGTTTGAGAAACACAAAGTAATGGAAAGCAACCCGCCCTGCGGATGCCCAATGGGGTGTGTGGCACATTGTATGGGGGGGGGTTTTCTGCCGTTTTCTCCCCTTCCTCGGTGACGGCTTTGTGTTGCGGAGTTCTCTTCTTCCCACTTGCGGCTTCCATGCCTCTTTCCAAACTTGGCCTTGCCACGCGTTGACTCTCCATCAGGTCTCGCCTCCCAGACTTGGCCCTGCCACATTCTAGGTTCCTATAAGGGGTGCTTTCTGCGAAAACCGGTGCCTGCCAGGTCAGCCATTGACTTGCTGTGCCAGGTTGATTGTGATTTTG